AGTGCTGGGATTACAGGCTTGAGCCACCGCGCCCGGCCTCCTTCCCTTTTTTTAATGTCACATACATCATCACACCTCAGATGTTTTGTGATTACAGATTTTAGCTAGAGCGTAATATGTATGGCCCACCCACTTCCCTCCTATTTCAGTTTTCCAGCGGAAAAACAATTGCATAAGGCAGTATTACCATACAGTTGAGTTGACCTCGGCAGGCAATGGAGGTGAGATTGTAGGTATTTTCCCAATGCATACATTTTATCAAGTTCAATTATTGAAAAATCAAAGGCTTAGACTTATTCTTTACCTACCAAATACAAGTGCCTATATGCCAGGCGCTTTTCTAGGCTCTGGGGATACAACATTGAACAAAAGACAAATTCCTTGCCTGGTGGAGCTTTCATTCTGCTGACACAAATACCAAGTTTTGTATACTATAGAATTAACCTAAAAACTACATTGATAGGCCAGGCATGGTGGCTCACGCCTATAATCCCAGCACTTTGGGAGGCTCAGGCAGGCGGATCATGAGGTCAAGAGATCGAGACCATCCTGGCCAACACGCTGAAACCCCTTCTCTAAAATAAATAAATTAATTAATTAAATTAAAGCCTACATTGATAATAATGATAGCAAACTATATTAATTATTGGCTACCTTCCGTATACCAAGCACAAAAGGTAGAGATGAATAAGGAGTTAAGGAACTCACATTTCGTTCCAGAAAGAGACTGTAAACAAATAAGCTCATTTCAGACAGCCTGGTACCAAAAAGCAAACAAAAACAGGGTAGAAGAGACTGGGGGTCGGGGGGCAATCAGATAGGGTGGTTAGGGAAGACTTTGGGAAGCAGAAATGGTAGCCATGTGTGGATGAGATTGAAGAGTATTCGGACAGAGAGGAGTGAACGCAGACACCTTGAGCTGGCACTGGCTGGGCACATCCAAGGGACTGGAAAGGGGCCAGGTGGCCCAGGACAGTGTAAAATGATGGCAGCAGACAGGCTGGGTGGGTCTGCAGGGCCAGACCCCCATGCCTCAGGGTACTTCAGGCATTTGACAGCGCAGCACACACTCCAGACATCTAGGAGTTCCAATTACCTTTCTCAACACTAGCAATTCTCTAGCTCGGTGGTTTTCAGCCCAGCTCTCACTTAAGAATCATCTGGGGAACTTTTAAAAAATACGAGTGCCACATGAGCGGGATTGGCCTGCTGTGGGGTCTGGCCATCGGGAACTGTTCAGGGCTCCAGGTGATTTTGATATGCTGCCCTGCTGAGACCCGGTGCTTTCTCGCTGATTAAATGACTTGGTCGGTTCCCAGTTAGAACGCTTTAGTTGTGTGTAAGAATTCAAATGCAGAACTGAATATCATGCCCCACCCATAAGGAAAAAGGACTTGACTGTTCAGTTTGATTTGACCTGTTTTTTGGAATAGGTAATAGATTACATAGTCCAGAATTGAAGAAAAGTGAAAGGAAACACAGTGAAAAGTATCCCCTCACCACCCACCAGCCATGCAGCCCTGCAGGAAACCAGTGTCTATTTTCCAGAGATGGTTTACGCAGAACGTCTGCAGAATCGGAGTGATGTTCGATGGCTAACGTTGGCTGTTTATGCCTACTCTCTTTTCTCCCTGAATAGGAGTTACCAGAGATCGTCTTTTCACAGCCCCAGCCCTGATTGCACTGACCCCATCTTGTGATTATTGTACGGTCAGCTCTTTATCATACCCTCCTTTCAGCTCTCTTTGAGTTGATTTTACCGTTGTTTTTCAGCTTCATGAGATGGGTTCTTAGCTCATTTTCCATTTTTCTTTCTTTGTAATGTACATTTAAGGTTGTATGTTTTCTTCTAAGGACTGCTTTATTAGCAAAGCCCAATTTTTTTTTTCAGAAACTTTATTAGGAAAATTTTAGACAGATATAAAATAAACGAACCTTCACGTACCCATCACCCCAGTTCAGCAACTGTCAAAATCCAGCCGTCCTTATTAAACGTCTACATTCGCCTCCAATTATCGTTATCTTTTTTGGTAAATTTTACATACTTTGCAGCCTTAGTACCTTTCAAAATTCAAATAATTCTAGTAATTCCATTTGGAATCAAATAATTCCATTTCTAGAAATACATTCGACAAAATAACTTCACACATAGCGAAATGATTTGTATACAGAATAACTGACTGCAAAATGCCTGTTAATAGGGGACTGGCTATATATATGTATTTTACCCATACAGTGAAATTCCTTATAGCTACAAAAAATAACGAGAAAGCCTCTCAGTGGTGGGGCACAGAGAGTGCCAGCCCTTCAGTGCTGGGGCACAGTCTTGGGTAAGGAAACGCTGCGTAGGTCTGGGGTGGTGTGCCAGCGCCACAGAACACAGGGAAGCTGTGATGCATGCGTGTGTTTCGGGACTTCCTGTCTCTGTGCTCTGGACCAAATAGACTAGCCCTCCCTCCACCCCACCTGCCACTGAAGACACCCAAGAAAGGGAAATGAAATGTATGCAAAGTCTCTTAAAGGCTTCAAAAAGCTAAACAAGTGGTAAGAATAATAGAAAGAACCCTGGATCCCCTTCACCCATAATCACCTCTTCTGAACATTCTGCTACATTCATTTTATCATCCCTCTCTCCCTCCTCCAAAGGAATACAATTTTCTTCATAACTGTTTAAGAGTTAGTGGTAGATACTATTTCCTAAGCAAGGATGTTATTTTACATAACCACAGTACAATCAGAATCAGGAAGTTTCACATTGACACAGCACCACCCTCCAAAACACGGTCCACATTCAGATTTCACCAGTGGTCCCAGTGATGCCCTTGATAGCATTTCCCCCTAATTCAAGATTCAAGAAAGGATCACACGTTGCTTAACTGTTCCATTTCCTCAATGTCTTTTTTTCTTTGGAGACAAGAGTCTCGCTCTGTTGCCCAGGCTGG